TAGCCCCGGTTTTAAAGTTGATTATGAAGTTAAACAAGGCGTATATGATTGTTTACGACGCATGGTGGCTGATATCGAAGAACAGGCAAGGATTGATGTTCAACTACAGGACTTTAAGAAGCGTCAAAAGTTATTTGGTTCTCCATTGGCTCAAAAGACATTTGATAAGCTAAGTCCAGCAGATTGGTGGGACTCATATGGAGATGAACATCCAGACCTTCAAAAATTTGCGATTCGAGTATTGAGCTTGACATGCAGTTCGTCAGGATGCGAGCGTAATTGGAGTGCATTTGAGATGGTAAGATTTCTAAAGTTTTATTACATTCTACAATGTGCAAATAAATATGACTTGATAATTTTCATTAGGTCCATACAAAGAGAAGAAATCGTTTGAAGCAGAAAACAATGAACGATGTTGTTTTTGTCATGACTAATTCAAAATTGGCAAAAAAGAAGAAAGCCAAGAGATCAAATCCGCTCAAACTAGAAGATCTTTCGTCAGATGATGAGTGGATTATGGAAGATGTTGGTGAAGACCCAGGAGGTGATGAAGTTGCTGCTGGCAATAACTCCACAGATGTTCCAACACAAAATGGAGAAGAAGAGGCTGCTGGCAATAACTCCAAGGATGTTCCAACCATAGTTGTGAATGGCGCTCGCCATTCTCGCCTAAGGCGCCTATGGCTTTGTGGCGACCATCTGACGCCATCTTCAGACCTGGCGAGGCGTTTTACGCCAATCTCGCCATAGGCAGTCGCCATGGACGCCAAACGCTGTGGCGAAAGGCGTTCGCTATCTACGCCAGACGCAGGTCAAGGGTTTTTCTTGACTTTTTTTTTAAAAAACGCGCTGACCTGACAGTACTCGATCGAAACACTTCATCGATTCAACTGCCGAGCCTCTGCCTCTGCCCTCTAGCCGTCGATCTGCCCTCCTCAAGTTCTCCTCAGCCGGCGCAGAGCCTCGTCTCTCTCGCGAGTCCAAACAGCGCAAAGGCAGAGTCAGAGCCGGCAAAAGTAAGACTCCACACTTCGCAGGTCACTCATACTTTTTTTTTGTTTTCTTATTGTTTTTTTTAATGGTTATTGTTTCTTTACAGCTCACTTCGCAGGTCACACTCACACTTAGATATATTTTTTTCATTTTTTTTGTACAATAGTTTTTCACCAATAACTCATGTTTTACTTTGATAATTATGTTTGATACAAAGTTAAGACTAAAAGTTTAGACTTAAACTATATATATATATATATATACACACACACACACACACATATATATATATATATTTATATTTATTTATTTATTTATTTATTTAATGTTCGCCATTTGACCGCCCGCCACTCGCCACGCTTCTCGCCATAAAAAAAAACCTCTCGCCCGCCACTCGCCATTCGCCATTCACAACTATGGTTCCAACACAAAATGGACAAGAGGCTGCTGCAAATGTTCAACCTGAACATGAAGAGGAGTTGGATGTCACCAATTTGGATGAGGGAGACGAAGATGAAGATGAAGATGAAGATAAAGAACTTGAGGATTATGATTTTAGCATTGATAATTATGTTTTAGATGTTTAAGTATAAAGTTTTAAGTCATTTGTGATCCAACTTGAACTTGTGTTATGTTTTAATAAAATTTAATTAAAAAATTAAACGTATATATATATATATATACATACATACATATACACACACACACACACACACACACACATATATATATATTTATATATAGTAGGATCTTACGATCCGATTCACGATCTTACGATGTTACGATCTTCACTATGCTTATCGATCCTACGTAGAATCTAGAGTTTGACTACCTTGCCTGTGGAGGTCATTGGTGAGATATTGTCTCGTCTAGGAATTGCTCGATATGTGGTCAGAGCTTCTCTAACTTGTCGGAAGTGGCGTGAAGCTTTCCGGAAGCACCTTCATACACTTTCGTTTAATGTTGCTGATGATAAGCCTGTCTACAGTTGCTACTGCTAACTTGGAAGTGTTGATCGCGAAGACCTTATTTCAAACAACTGGTTTGCGAAAACTAACTATTTTGATGAACAAAAAGCACAAGTTTTCTTCTGGTTCAGTTGTGGGTTGGTTATTTTTCGTGCGGGAAACTTTGTTGGAGTTGTTTTATAAGGTTAGCACTTCTCCTAGTATTAATGTTCTTGATATATGCGGAAGGCAGAGACTTGAGACCTTGAGTTTGTGTGAATACACAGATAATGAGGTTGAACCGAATTTCCAAAGATTCCCTTGCTTGACATCACTTTCTCTAAGACGTGTATGCATTTTTGTGGAGGATCTAAACTCACTTCTTTCGGCTCTTCCCAAGCTAGAGCGCTTGGAACTTAGTAAACTCATTCTACGGGGTATAAATGATGAGGTTGATCCAGAAGATATAACAATCAAATTGTGTTGTTCAACGTTCAAGTCTCTTATTCTCAGTGATTTTGAACAAGAAGAGTTTATTGGGGAAACTATCTATTTTGATGAACAACAAGCACAAGTTCTCAGCTGGTTCAGTTTTGGGTTGGTTATTTTTCCTCCGGGAAACTTTGTTGGAGTTGTTTTACAAGGTTAGCACTTCTCCTAGCATTAATGTTCTTGATATATGTGGAAGGCAGAGACTTCAAACCTTGAGTTTGTGTGAATACACAATTAATGGGGTTGAACCGAACTTCCAAAGATTCCCTTGCTTGACATCACTTTCTCTAAAGCGTGTATCCATTTCTGCGGAGGATCTAAACTCACTTCTTTTGGCTTTTCCCAAACTGGAGCGCTTGGAGCTTAGTAATCCCATCATACGGACTATAGATGATGCGGTTGATTCAGTAGATATAACGATCAAATTGCATTGTCCTACATTCAAGTCTCTTGTTCTTAAGAACGTTGAACAATCAAAGTTTATTTTGGAGAATGGTTGTATTGAGTGTGTGGATGTGAATCACTGCTATTTTGGTTCATTTAAGGTCCGTGGCAGCAAAAGTTTGACGCACTTCAAATTTGTTCAGTCAGAGGCTCAGATTCTAGATATTGAAGAGGGAGACAAGCTGGAGGTTTTAGAATTTGTAGCCTCTCATGTTAATCACTCAAATTTATTTCCGATGAAGATACACACACCAAGGTTGAGAACATTTCGAATATGGGGTTTTAGTGAGGCACCAGATTGTGGTTTTGAAATAGATGAAGAAAGATCATATATAGCTGTGGATTCTGATCAAATTTCTGCTTGTTCCCCACAGCTTAGACATCTGGCAATATTTTTTGAAGGTGGTGAACGTTGTGATCATGCGTTTGGGGGATTATCTTACATGGAGAATGTGGTGCTTTTGGAGATCGGATGGGATTCCTTTGACGGCTTCTGGGAATTGGTAGAGAAGGTGCTGAAGTATTGTCCAAATGTTAGGAAGTTGGTTGTCCATGGGATGGTTCCAAGAAGGCAAGATGAAAAGTTTTTGGAGCTCTTTGGTCAACACACGACATCAATGGTTGAAACGATGAGGAAGTATCAACACATTCAACTGCAGATTCTGTACTCCTATGATTTTGATTCCAGCAATCCTCTTACAGACAGATGGCTTCTTCTGTGAATGGGCAGAGAGGGTGTTCAAGTGTTGTCGAAATGTCGCGAAGTTGATTCTCCTCCCAAAGAGGCTCTTGTTCTTTGCCCTTTCGGAGCATTTGAAGGACATCGGCCATCACGGGTCATCCGGTTGCTCAAGTTCTGTTTGCTCGTAGAGGGCCATTCTGGTCATCTCAGTTTGTGGAAACCTCTGTGTTCTTTTTTTTTTATCTTTGATTTTCTAGCATCGTAATCTAATCGTGGGAACTATTCTTGATTTATATGTTACTATCTCAGAATCTAAATTTCTTTCACATTATATTCTGTTTTTTTAATTTTGTGTGACTAGTAGGAGTATGACGCTTCGTCCGGTCCGGATAACCATATAGGGAGTATATCATTACACGGGAGGCGTAAATTGACGTGACCCATTTTTTTTTATACGAGATTGGACTATGAGATACTGAGTTTTGAGTAAAAGTTTTGATGACTAAACTTGAAGAACACTGAGCCCCAAGTGACCTGATTAAAAATAGAGGAAACCCGACTCAATGTGAATGTGATCGACCCAGTGATGCAAGGTTTTTTCAAATTATCAACTTTTTTTGTGAGGTTCAACAAGTATTAGTGTATTACTCCAACCGTCCTAAATTAAATTGCCTTTTTTTACAATTTACAGAGTTAAATTTTATTCAATTTGTTTTAATTATTTTCGTTAGTCATTTGATAAAATAATATAGTCATATCACCATTAGTTTTGTAAATCTTTTAATGTAATTTTTATTTTTTGAATTTCATACCATTTTTCATATAAAATGATTTGAAAATAATTTCGGTCAAACATGGTTAACTGAAACATACGATTTAAATTGTGGCACAAGCAGTAGTATTTAAATATAATTTTTCCATATTAATTTGCAATTTCGGGTCATTAGACTATTAGATATATGGGTCACATAACTTGGAGGCGTGGAAAATATAATTATATTAGGCTTAATAGAATAAGACAACAAGCATATGTGTCAAAATGGAAACCTGAAAATAAATAAATTTGTAGTTTGGTCTAAAATGAGTAATTTGCTTGATGGTTCTCGCTTATTCCCTTTCACATCATCACTGTTTAATGCTACATCATTGTTTCTTATTCTTTTCTTATTTTTGTTACTCATTTAATGAAATATGATAGTCATGTTTCTTCTTGTTTCGTAGAGTTTTTATGTAATTTTTTTAAATTAAACTCCAATTCTTAAACAAATTGCATTAAAATTTTTTTATGTCAAACATCATAAATTAAAATAAATAATTTAAATGGAAACGAAGTAAGTACTTATTATCATAATTGTTTATTATAATTCCGAATTCCCATAGAGGAATTTTTTTTCCATATCCCAAATATATACAATACATTGTCAAGGGTAAATATGATTCATAAAATGAAACATAACCTTAAGAAGTTCTATTCCTTTGATGAGTTCATTAGGTAAATTTCTCATGTGTAAAAGCTTAACAAATTGAAGTAAACCATTGTTAATCCTTTTCACACGTGTATGGTTGTCTCGTTGTTTTGAACTTGCATTATTGATTGGAGCATCCTACCCTCAACTCACTTTGTATCCCGTTTTGTACATTAAAATTTTACCCTGATATAAAATATAGGTGCAATCTTGACATAATATCAGTTTTGTACTTACATTTAATATCATGGCAAAACCTTGAGATACAAAATCCGGTAGAAATAGAATTTTCTTTATTGTTTTATTTACCCACCCCACAATCTTGTTTGAAATGGTTAGGTTTGCAACATTTCCTACATCTCATTTTTGATTTCTTGTTGGGAGATATCTCGGCATGCGTGGGCTTGGGCTTCTTCTTACCCTTACGAATAGACCTGACACAAAATGACACGACCTGTTTTTTACCCAAAATCCAATCTGAAAAACGTTGGGTTTTGAACAAAAGTTTAGATGACCGAACCCGATGTTGACCGAACCCAAAATGACCCGCTAAAAAAGAGTCAAACCCGACCAAACTCAAACATGACCTGACTGACCTGCTAAAGTAAGAATTTTTCAAAATCATACACTTTACTACTCGTTTTTAATGTATAAATTTATATTTTTAGACAAAATTTTAATGGTAAATTTCACCAATGGTACCTGAACTTTAGCTAGAATTTCGAAGTGGTACCTAAACTTCAAATCCTTTCAAAAAAATCCCTAAACTTACACAATCTTTTCACTAAAAGTCCATTTGCCCGTTTATAGGTTAACTTCCGGTCATTTGGGCCAAATTAGAATTTTATATATTTTAAAATTTTTAATTTGACCCCATTTCTTTTTTTCTTTTCTTCCGCTCCCTGCCGCCGTCGCACCACGTCAAAGTCGCTAGAAAATCAACCTGGTCAGATTCCGGAGGGACCAACGCCGTTCTCTTCGTCTTGCGATGAGGATCAAGAATATCAAAATCATTCTGTCCAATTTGGCCTGAAACTCCTCGAATTTGATTTTTTTCTCTCGAAAAAATCCTAAAATCCAAAATTGGGTCCAAAATTGGGGGTTTTGCAAATCGTCATCAAATCTTGCAATTGAGGGGTTCTTGCGGGTCGCCGAGATGCCACGAACACGTTGGAGGGGATTAGTGGCGTCAATATTGAGGTGATTTTAAGTTGCACCAAAGTCATCTCCTCGTTTGTGTCCCAAAGTGCAATTATACTCTTTCTAAGAAGGCAATAACTTGTGTTCCAAAGTGCATTTACACTCTTTCTAAGAAGGCAATAACTCATCACCTTAAAAGAAATATAGAATTATATATAAAAAAAGACCTCATATGTTGTTATCATCTAAATATGAATGTTAACGCGGTTAAACACCATAATTTGATACTCTATATGATGTATTGACATTTTACATTTTTTAACATTGTATTTTAAAATTATTCGATACTATAAATCTTATTTTTACATGAAAATTATTCAATTCAATTTTTGATACTCCATATATAAATATATTTTAATTCAAGTTATGTATTTTTTTCAATATTCAATACTGTGTATTAGGCTATGTTCTTTTTCGGTTAGAAAAATTAACTTCTTACCTTTTCCAATTCATTTCAGTTTCTTCTAGTTTTTTTCTAATTATTTGATGTTTCATCCTACAACAATTAAAAATTTGATTATATTATGACTATAAATTAACATTTCATATCCAAATTTATAACATAACATCTCAAGTAAAAAAAATGAATTCTTTTTTATAACCAAAATTAGTTTTCTTACATATTTATTTGACTGATCATTTAATTGAGTGTTTTACATTATTTTTTTAACACTTTCTAACTTCTTCCTGTTTTTTCCAAGCCTTCTAGTTTCTTCTAATGTCTAATTTTATGATTTCAACCAGAAAAAACAAAGTCTTATACTGTGTTTATTAATATAAAAATCTAACATAAATCATAAGTTTGAACTTTTGGTTAAGTTGATTGCTTGACATGGTATCAAAATTTTGATGACTTAGAAGTAACGAGTTTGAAATTGACTTTTAATAAGGAGAAAGACCAAAGTAAGACTAAAACATTAAAAATATATCAAAATAGGACTTCCATGTTTTTACTCCCGAAATATAACAAACATGGTCATGTACATTACTAAAATAGTATAGTAATGTGAACATGTACGGTGGCACATTACCAAACTGCAAAGTTTTATTTTGGAGAAAAAACATGAAAGTTCTATTTGGTAATTCCAATGAGCTTGCAAAATGATTGGTGTCAATATATTGCACATGGGATGTAGTTGGGGTAATTTACCAAAATAGGACTAAAATTTAATGACTTTCTCAATATAGGATCATATGTTTTTATTTTTCAATGTAGGACCATTAGTTATTATCTATTATCCCGTAGTAGTCATTATTCAACTAAATATCCAGCATCACTTGGACATTATTCTACTCACTAGTCATTATTAAGTCCTATTTAGAGAATAAAAAATTTTAAATCTTTGAGAAACGGATGCCGCATCGCCGACGAACCAGACAAAGCCGCTTCCCACAATTGAACTCAGTTGGTACAGATCTCCCGTGCGTGTATATTGTCGCCTCTAACGAAGAGAGTAAGAAACAAGAGTCAATTCCAAATCCAGCTCAACCGGAGATGGTCTAGAAGGGATCGGATATGGTGTAGAGGACTTGATTCATATCCACAGATCTTCACTCTTCACCAGCCGGTAACTCATTGAATCTAGGGTTTTCATTTCTCTTGCAGATTCAAACGCAGGTAATTATTCGATCATAGATTTAGACTAGTTGGCAATTAGTAGTATCTCAATATCGAAAAAAACAATCAAATTCTTCCCTTCTGAAATTCTTTTTGTTTGATTTTGAATTTCTAAACTGCCATTTTCGCTAATGGATTTTTTGTTGGTTTGATCTAGATATGGGTAGAGTTTGTTCTGCCTGTGATTTCTCAATTGTTAATCTATTTGTTTTCATTCGTTTATTTATTGAATGTAGATGGAGAGCAGTGTTATAAAGAGGAGTCATAGAGGGCCTGTGGAGAAACTTCCTCTTGAGGTTATTGGGGATATACTGTCTCGGGTAGGAGTTGCACGAGATGTCCTCCGAGCTTCTCTAACTTGTCGTAAGTGGCGAGAAGCTTTTCGCAAGCACCTTCACACACTTTCCTTTGATGTTTTTGACGATGAACCTTTCTACAGTGAACTTCCTACTGCTGAATTGGAAGTGTTGATCACAAAAACCTTATTTCAAACAACTAATGTGCGAAAACTATCTATTTTGATGATCGATAAACACAAGTTTTTGGCTGGTTCAGTTGTAGCTTGGTTACTATTTGTCCGGGAAACTTTGTTGGAGTTGCTTTATAGGGTTAGAACATCTCGTGGCATTACATCCTTTAATGTTCTTGATATATGTGGTAGGCAGAAGCTTTGAGACTTTGACTTTATTTGACTACCCAATTAATGAGGTTGAACCGAATTTCCAAAGGTTTCCTTGCTTGACATCACTTTCTCTATGTCGCGTACAAATTTCTGTAGAGGAACTAAACTCACTTCTTTCGGCTTTTCCCAAACTGGAGCGCTTGGAGCTTAGTAAACCCATCCTACGGACTGGAGATGATAAGGTTCATTCACATGATATGACGCTCAAGTTGCATTGTCCTACATTCAAGTCTCTTATTCTTAATGAACTCAAACAATTGGAATTTATTTTGGATGACGGTTTTATTGAGTGTGTGGATGTGTATCACAGCTTTTTTGGTTTATTTAAGGTTAGTGGCGGTAAAAGGTTGAGGCACTTTAAGTTTTTCAAGTCAGAGGCTCACTTTCTTGATTTTGAAGAGGGAGGCGATCTGGAGGTTTTGGAATGTATTGCCTGCCATGTTCTTCACTCAAATTTGTTTCCAATGAAGATACACGCACCAAAGTTGAAAACACTTCGAGTTTGGGGTTTTAGTGAGCAACCAGATTTTGGTTTTGATATAGAGGAACTTATTCATGATAGGCCATTTGCAACTGTTGATTTTGATCAAATTGCTGCTCGTGTGCCAGAGCTTACACATCTGGCAGTATTTTGTTATGATGATGTAGATTTTGGTGTCACGCTTGGGGGATTGTCTTCCTTGGAGAATGCGGTGCTTTTGGAGCTCGGATGGAAATACTTCAACAATTGGGAGTACTTTGACAGCTTCTGGGAATGGGCAGAGGAAGTGTTGAAGTATTGTCCAAATGTTAGGAAGTTGATTGTATATGGAATGCTGCCAAAATGCCAAGACGAGGTGTTTTTGGAGCGCTTTGCTAAGTACACCACATCAATGGTTGAAATGGTGAGGAAGTATCAACATATTGAAGTGCAGATTTCGTACTTGGATCCCGATTTGTAGCAATCCTCTTGCCAAAAGATGGTCCGGGTTTCAGATATTGGATGGGATTGTTTTCATGGCTTGTGTGAATGGGCAGAGAAAAAGGTGTTGAAGTGTTGGTCCAAAGGTAATGAAGTTGACTGTCCAAAAGAGGCTCTTGTCCAAAGGTTCTTTGGCCGTTCAGAGTAGTTGAAGGACTTTGGCAAGAGCACGTGTCATCAATGCTCAAAATGGTAAGGAAGTATATAACCAAAAGGAGTAATAGCCTAGTTGTGTACATGGTCCAGGAAGTGAAGCACTTAAAAATTTACACATACCCAAATTGATGGTACGTGAACAATGTACAATCTGCCTTTGCACGAGGATCCAAGCTTGGAATGACTTCTGCCGCCCAAGGAACAGTTCTATTCACATCAATTCTTGTCCTTCTTGGGAATTGATTTGCATACTCATGTCACTATATTTTAACAATACAAGAAAAAATAATTAAGCAAAATTTCAAATAATTAATAATAAATTAAAGACAATACATACGAAGTAATGAATAGCTTATTACTTTTCCTTCTATGTTTCTATGAAGAAAACGTAATAATCTATTCATTACTTCGTATGTATTGTCTTTAATTTAATATTAATTATTTGAAATTTTGCTTAATTATTTTTTCTTGTATTGTTAAAATAGTGCTATGAGCATGCGGATCAAATTCTTAGAAGGACAAGAATTGATGTGAATAGAGTTGTTCCTTGGGCGGCGGAAGTCATTCGAAGCTTGGATCCTCGTGCAAAGGCAAATTGTACATTGTTTGGGTACAATCAATTTGGGATATGTGAAAATTTTTAAGTGTTTCACTCCCTGGACCATGTTGCCAACTAGGCTATTACTCCTTTTGGTTAATAATATCGAAGTACAGCAACCTGTTTGCTCGTAGTGCCCATTGTGACATTGTGGAGCATCTCATTTGTGGAAACCTATGTGTTTTTTTTTTTAATCTATGATTATCTAAGCATTGTAATCTATTCTCCGTTGCCCCAATCTAGGAACTATTCTTAATGATATTTGGATCTCAGAATCTTAGTTCTTTTGGGATTTCTATTTTTTATTCGGGTTAAATAGTTGGAGTAGAAGTATACAACACTAGGTCCGGTTCGGATAACCATTTGAAAACATGGCCCGAGCGTAGACATGACAAAAATTAGCTCGACTTGTTTTTTACCATAGACCTGGCTTTGAAATACTGAATTTTGAACAAAGGATGACCGAAGCCAAACTATATTGAACTGGAAATGTTCGTAAAAAATGCATCAAATCCAGCGGAATCTCAAGCTGACCAAATTGGTAATGAAAGGTTTTTTCAAAAATTAGCAACTTAAGAATATTAATATTGAGAATATTCTTTCTGTCTCATATCTTTCTTTTCATTTTGACTTTTTTCATTAATGCTTTTAAACGATGGCTATATTTTTTTCCCATTTTGATTTTTGGGGCCAACGTTTTAAACTTTGAGAATAAATTACGGAAAAAATATACTCCGTATTAGATTGTGATAAAAATTTAAGAGGAAATTTCATAAAGGATCCCTATTTATAATTTGTTTTACATATTTAGTCTCTACATATCAAATATCAATAATTTAGTCTCCATTTATTATATTCATTTCCAGAAATGGTCCCTTGTTAACATTTTCGCTAAGAACGTAGATAAAATTGTAAATTCACACTTTTTTCTCTTCTCTATTAAGCTTCCTCCCTCCTCTCGCACCCCTTTCCCAAACCCGTCGCAGAGTTTCAAGCTTTGAATCCAAAATTGAAATAACCACTTTTTTCTCAATTGTTTGTCTAACTGGTGGAACCCAAATTCGAAAGCAGTAACTTTCATGATTGATTTTAAATGTTTAATTTTTTTGGAATTTCTTGAGACTAACCGATAAAACACATCCATAAAGCATATTGGTTCTGATTTTAGGTTCCACCAAGAAGAGTAACAATTGAGAGAGTGATTATTTAAGTTTTGGGTTTAGAGCTTCAAACTCACCGACGAGTTTGGGAAAGAGTACGAGAGGATGGAAGAAGCTTAATTGAGGAGAGAGCGAAGTATGGATATACAATTTTATTCATGTTCTTAACAGAAACGTTAACAAAGGACCATTCGTGAAAAATGATATAATAATTAGAGACTAAATTAGTGATATTTGATATGTAGAAACTAAATATGTAAAATGACCATTAACTAAGGACTTTTTATGGAATTTACTCTAAATTCAAAATCAATATAAGAATTTTGAAATGTAGTTTTGAAATATCATATTTTTATAATCTATTTCTATATATAAATAGAAATATTAATCGACAAAATTTATAGTATTGGAGACAATGAAAAGTTAAATTAGAAGAAAGATACGGCATATAGAGTGTAATTTTTCCTCATTGAGTTGCAATTTCGGGTCATCAAATAATTAATACTCCCTCCGTCCTGTTATATTCGTCCACTTTTGACTTTTGGAACTGTTCATCTAAGCACTTTGACTAATTAAATTCTTTCAATGTGTAAGCCTAAATATAGTCATATGTGATCTTGTTTGATTTGTCTTAACATATAGATTATTAATATATAATTTCTATAATTTTTTAATATACAAATTACTCCGTAAAAGATAAAATGGATTAAAGAAGTGTATTTGATGGTGTGCAAAAATGAAAGTAGACAAATGCTCTGGGACGGAGGGAGTATATAAATCTCATCATATGAAAGGTTTAATAGAAAAAGAAAAATAACTTGTAGCGGTGTAAAGTTGGGTTTATCTCTTGGAGTATTGACATGTGGCATGCCACATGTGCATTGAGATGGATGAATTTGCATGCCACATGTGCATCCACATGTGCATTGAGATGGATGAATTTAATTGGTCCATTTAATTTTTTAAAAAGATCTTTTAACACATTTTATTTTATTACATTAAATAAATATTATATTTTAGTACTAAAAAACATTATTTAATTATACTTTGTATAAAAAATGTCATTTTTTAACAATTTTATAAAAATATATTTCATCATTGTAAAATATGCTCCGTATTTTATATTTATATATAGACACACACACACACATATTGTCACACATATATTCTCTAATGATGTATCATTATTTAATAAGTCCATTTTTTATTATAATGTTTTATTAATTAAAACTATTTTCATTAGTACTTCATTCAATAATGGCCATTAGTTTTGTATAAAATTTTTGTTTTTAAATAAGCCTACCAATATACATTCCACCAGTTTAAAAGATATTTTGTTTACATAATCAAATTATATCTATAAATACTTTTTTAACTTTATCGATGTTTTGAAAAAATAAGTTTCATATGATTTTTAAAAACAATAAATCGTTTCTTTTTTACTACTTTTAAAAAAATACTAATAGAATCTTTAGTGCATGTACATCTATATTTAAAGTATAATATTTGAAAAAAGATATATCTTAGAGTTAAAAACATTTCATCTAACACGTACATTTTATGTCACTATTAGGAAACTAAATTAAATAAAATTATATTTATAGAATGTAAAAAATTTAGAATATATACGAGCCCGTGCGAAGCACGGGGTTAACACTAGTATGTAATTATATTAGGTTTAATCAAACTAAAATATCATCAAAGTTCAAGTATTTCCCGTGAAATTTTCAATAATTATGTGTTGAGTGATGTTAGCTAGAATATGTTGAAAGCTAGGGATACATGTTAAGCTAGATAATTTCAGTATATACACTTCTATATTTTTTTACCTTCTTTTATTTGAAACCAAATTTAAAATTTAGAAATCATCCTAAATAGGACTAAAACATAGAGAAAAGTATCAAACGTGTTTTTTTTACATAAGACTTTGCACTGTGATAATGTGGTAGTGTACATGTGCACATTACTATAGTTCTTTGGTAATGTATATGACCATGTTTGGTAATGTAAGTCCTATTTCGAAAATAAAAACATAGAAGTTCTATATTGGTATATTTTCAATGTTTTAGTCCTACTTTGGTCTTTCTCACATTTAAATTTACACTGTAAATACTTGTGGTGAGTCTATTAACATGAGTAAGAAATAAACTCATAAGTTGCAAGAAAATAAGGCTAAATAGCTTCAGTGTCTCTCTGTGGTTTGGAAAGGTGGTACCAATATTTCTTTTCTGATCTTTTCAAAACTTATTTTTAAAGTCTTATGGTTTCAAAAGATTGCACCTACACCCCCTCCGATCATTTTCCGGTCATTTTCCATCGAATGTGGGGCATTAGTGCCTATTTTCTAAACTATACGGGGCACACATGCTCATATCTTATTTTTCATTTATTCCTTTTTTTTCTTCCTTTTTTAACTTTTTTATCTCTTTGTTTTCTTTTCCTAGAAAAGTTTGTTTAAATTTATTTTAATTTTTTTGTTATATTTTTTTTTTTTGAAAAGTGTAAGTTCATTGTGTCTGAAATAAAAATAAAAACTTAACAGATACTCCATCTCTCTCAAATAAAACATTTTAAATTTTTATTTTCTAGAATAATGTTTTTGTTAAGTTTAAAAATAAAATAAAAAATAAAAAAAATAAAAATATGAAAATAGGAAATGAAAAAATTAAAACATCTAAAAAAGAGTCTTATACAAAAGGGGATTTTTAAAAATGCCAAAAAGAAGTCCTTAGAATTGAGATGTCCAAATACGATGATCATTTTTATTTTTTGTTTTATTTTATTTCTTAATTTAATCATCATTTTTTGAATTTCTCGGTTTTTTTTACTTTTCTATTGTAAAATTTTTTTTTATTTGGGACCTATAGATGTAATGTTTTTTAGGACCTATTAAGAACATTATAAAAACAATTTTAAAAAATAAATTTAAAAAACCTTGATTAATGAAAGGAACAAATAAAGGGAAAAAACAAAAAATAAACAAGAAATAAGAAATGAGCACCGGTGCTCCTATGGTTTGGAATATAGGCACTAATTCCCTCTTCGTCGCCATAAAAATGGCCGGAAAATGATCAGAGGGGGTATGGGTGCAAGTAGTGCAACGTTTTGAAATGACGAATCCTTTAGAAATAAGTTTTGAAAACAAGAGAAAAATTGGTGCTTATTTTCCAAACCACGGGGATATTGATGCTATTGAATAGATATAATTATTTATTATGATGAAATGATATAATTGATCGTACGTGTTATAAAAAATTAATCAAAACTAAATGTAGTTTTGTGGCTTACCAAAACTAAAACCTGTAACAAATCAATTGTTGAAGAAAAATAGAAGATGAAGAGAGTAATATTTAATCAAGTCGGAAATCACTTGCAATAAACTATAAAGGTCGTAGGATTTAAAATATTAGTCTTAAATGATAGCGTTAATCTTTACAACTTTACCAAAACATTGTATATCTCGCTTTTTTTTCAAAATATTTAGAATTAAACAAAAATTTTACATGTTCACTTTCTATTTAGTATAGCAGGATTTTCATTACTAAAGGTTAGATGTCAAAATATTATTTTAATTTAAGGGAGAAAGACCAAAGTAGGACTAAAACATTGAAAATATACCATTATAGGACTTTCATGTTTTTATTCCCGAAATAGGACTTACATTACCAAACATGGTCATATACATTACCAAAAAAGTATAGTAATGTGCACATGTACACTGTCACATTACCACAGTGCAAAATCACATTACCACAGTGCAAAGTCCTATTTCGGGAAAAAAACATAAAAGTCCTATTTTGGTACTTTTCTCTATGTTTTAGTCCTATTTAGGTTGATTTCTATTAATTTAACTATTGATGTCATGTCTCAATTAATATGGATTGTATCTAATACTCCGGTCTCTGTATGGTTCCCATGACAGTGAAGGGGTGGAGGGGGGATTCGGATCAGGGTGGGATGTGGGTTTACCGGGAGGAGATTAGGAGGGTAAAAGCTATCAATTTTACGAACGGGGGATCAGAGCACCCACGAGTCATCCCATGACATTGATTCCTAATATCATGAGAATCGGTCCAATATTTCATTCAGTCATTTAATAATTTTATTACAAAAAAAATTGTGAAATTGAAAGAGATTCTGTTCCACCCGGTGCATAATACATATGAGGTAAAATACTACTCCCTCCGTTTCGATGAGTTCGTCTCGTTCTCGTTTTACATGTAGACCAAGGAAAACACCAAAGGAAAAAGATGTTACTCGTATGCCCTAACATTTTTGTAACACACTAGTATCACACCCGTGCGCTGCACGGGCCATATTTATATTTCTAAATTAAGATTATTTTTAAATGATAGAAAATGATATTTAATAGAATATAGAAATTTTATTATTTTAAGGTAAAAAAATTTTTTCTTTACCAATTTTGAAAGACTTCTTTATAAACTACGTCATTCATACAATTTGTGGGAACATTGTCTTCTTTTGAAGCTTCGTATTGCTAAAGAATTGTAGCATGAAAGGATCATTGGTAATTTTTGTTGTTGGTAATTGAGTAGTACTTTGACTCTCATCAATAAATAAACTTTATTTTCTCTAATCTGCGCATGTATTTGATCTCTTTAACAATGCAAAGGAAAAAAGTGTTTATAACAATCATTACAACATGCTCAATGTATACGTATTTTATTCATATTAATGAAAGAAATAACTTCTAAGTCGTGAAAAATAACACCCAATGATTCAGGCCCCTAGCATGGACGGAAACATGATAAACTTTTATCGTTCTCAGTTTTAGCATCAAAAGCGATGACCTGTCATCAATATTTCTTACAGTGGTTAAGATCATCATGTTTTGTTCAAATGGCGGGTTCGAAAGCGCACTTCAAAGAAGTTCATTACAAAAGTTATTGCGAATGACCATATTTATATTATGAATTTTTTTCTTATTATGTTTTCCTTTTTTAAATACAATGAAATTTTTGAGCAAAATCACAGCCATTTTACTTACCATTAGGGCTGTTCACATTTAGGTCCGGACCGAAAAAATCGACCGAACCGGACCGTTAGGTCTAGACTGAACCCGGACCGAATGGATTATGGGTCGGTCTTCGATCCAAAAAATTTAGGCATTCAGGTTTCGGTCCGGTCTGGTCCAAACCCGAAATAATTTAGGTCCTGACCGATTGGACCGAATTGACCGAATGACCCTACTGGACCTAAAAGACCTAAATACTAAAACTCTACTTTTTAAGTTTTGTATTACACTTTGATGCTCTGTTTTAAAAGATATTTTAATTTATTTAATTAAAAAGGTTTTTTAAGTAATTTTTTAAAAAAAATCTATAAAATCGTTTCATATTTTTTTTATGGTTCTACATAGAAGTAGTTTATATTGTGTCCATTTTAAGGTTTCTTTTTTTTTATTCATTTTCTATTTGAATGGTACAAAGTAAAAAAGTCTAAAATATATTTAATTGATCAAAATAATTAAAAAATGTATTTTTTTCGGTCCAATCGGTCCGGACCGGTTCGGTTTGGTCCGGTCCAAACCCGAATAGATTTAGGTCCGGTCTTCGGTCCTTGAATTTACTCAATTCGGTCTTCGATCCGGTCCGGGTCGGTCCGGTCTTAGACCGATGAACAACCCTAACTACCATTCCAACATTGGTGTTTCCACCTAACTTTTTTTTTTGATCAAATGGGGAGGGGGGAAACCCCGAACTAACTCGTCTCCTCAGGAGAAGTAACTCTGCGAATTCTGGTAACGCCTATCTTGTCCCTTGTAATGATGTCCTCCATCCCAGGTGGGGGAACTTCATGCTCAATCCAATCAGCATGCTGAAAAGCTCCAATACTAGCCATGTGGTCAGCCGCAAGATTTTGTTCGCGGAATATGCTCTTTATCTTGATCCTTCTATACTTAGTTTGCCACTTCTTAATGTTATCAATGATGTGACGAGTAGGTCCTCTAAGTGAATTATTCTCAGCAATCCACTTAACAGCCTCACCTGCGTCCGTTTGAATCTCAAGTTCTCGAACTCCTTGTTCCCAAGCCCACTGAATACCTGCAGAGATGGCCATAACTTCCACCGATGTTGCACTCCTTTCTCTAGCCTTGGCCGTAAAACCACCTTTCCACTCACCTCTGCTATTCCGAAGGACACCACCGATACCTGCTTTGTCGATGAATGTTTTGCAACTACCATCAACATTGAGGGTCCATTCACAATCTTGAGACATCTTCCACCTAAGCGAGCAATCGACTGAGTTGGGAATGTTGCCCACCATCCGATGTCTCCGAAAAGCAGTATTAATTTCTCTAACTGCCTCTTTGATCCAACTGATCTTCCGTTTATCTTCCAGCTCCTCGCCACTAAAAATCCTAGCATTTCGCCATCGCCATATCCACCAGCAAGCAGTGGCAAAAGTGATACCCCAGTCGCTGTCGATGTTGCTGTGTATCTTCTGTGAGACATTTTTGTAGATCCAGTTCTTGACCTCACCATCGCTATTTGTGTTCATGTTGACCCCAATGTCATTCCAGACACGTTTAGCCTTGATGCAAGACCTAAATATGTGATCAGTTGTCTCTTCATGCCCGCTGCATATGGGGCAGCTACCATCCGCCGTCAAGCCTCTCCTCTTGCGCTCAGCGTTTCCCAACACTCTATCGTGGCTCATGGTCCATAGCAGAAGTTTGATTTTGCTTGGGACCTTGAGTTTCCAAATCATTGACCAACTTTTTTCCTGCAGATTAGAGTTAACGCCCTTAATCATGTTATATGCTGAAGCAACAGAGAACTTACCTGAAGGTTTGTGCTTCCAGTACACTTCGTCTCTTCTACTTGAGCATCTATCAAGCACCAACAAATGTAAATAGGATACAATATTTGCTGGTAGATTGGGAAGGTGGTCCCATTTCCACCCGCTCATGTCATCCCACATATCAGCGACAGCTGCATGCATGTTACGTAGTGCTCCCACGTCCTGGATGAAGTTAATCAACGGCTCCTCTCCAACCCATGTATCCAACCAGAACTTTGTTTCGGTGCCGCTATTGATCTTGTGAATAAAGCTTGTGCCCACCAATTGCATGGCATTAGTAATTCCTTTCCAAACATTAGAATCACCCTTCGTGCTTTGAAACATATCTTTTCCCGTTCTATGTCTTGCATACTTAGATATTAATACTCTAGCCCACAAGCTGTCTCTTTCATTTAAAAGACGCCACCCAAGTTTAGCAACAAAGGCTATGTTCATCTCCTTGGCACTTTTGATTCCAAGACCCCCTAAGTCAATTGGTTTTGTCACTTGTTCCCAACTAAGAAGGTGACATCTCTTTTTTTCCGTGGTCCTGCCCCAAATGAAGCCCCGAACTCGTTTATCAATTTCCTCAAGGATTCCTATCGGTAGCATCATTGTTTGCATGACGTAGTAAGGAATAGTACTGAGTGCGGATTGCGCGAGAACACGTCTGCCTGCAAACGTAAGCAGCTTGGTTTTCCAGCCCTCCAACTTGGCACTGAGTCTGTATAGAATAGGATTAAACAAGTTGTTTGTTATCCTCCCGTGAATGGACGGGACTCCAAGGTATTTGCCAAGATCACGGGTTTGAGGTATTCCAACCAAATTAGTGATTTCACTAGCTTGTTCTGTCGTTACATGTTTAGAAAAGAGGATCTGAGATTTGTTAAGGCTCACCCTCTGGCCAGAGGCTCGACTAAATTTGTCCAGGCAATTTTTAATGATCACCATCTGGTCCTTAGATGCTTCTGCAAAAAGAACCATATCGTCAGCAAAGAAAAGGTGGGTCAAGAGAGGACCATTCCTCGAAGTGCGGATCCCTTTCCATATCCCTTGTGCAGTTGCTTCTCTAATGATGTGGTTAAATCTCTCCATGCAGAGGACAAAGATATACGGAGAAATAGAGTCCCCTTGCCTGATTCCCCTAGAAGGCTTTATCCACTCAAGCTGTTGCCCATTCCAAATGATGCTTAATTTAGCCGTTTCAACACAAGCCATAATGTTTCGAACCCATTCTTTGTGTAACCCAGTTTCTTCAAGAGTGTCTTTAATAAAACTCCAATCCAATCTGTCATAAGCCTTCTCAGGTGTAAATACAATGAATTTTTCACGCAGTGATTATAATTTCCATACTTTAAAACTTCATTGTATTTTTGCCCGTCTATTTTTTTTATAATTATAATTTTGGACCAAAAATTATAAGGTATGAGAATACATTTTTTTAAACCAAGGCAACACTTTCATTTATGAGGTATGAAAATAATTTATAAAACGAACTTACCTTTATTATTATTATTACGATTCTTATTGTAATTTTACTTATTATTCGGTACCATAATATTATCATATTATTATTCTTACACATTTTACCTTTTTTATTTTTTCACATGCAAAGCCAATAGGCGGTACCATATTATTATATTTTTGCATATGATAATAATTTTTTTAAAACCAATGCAACACTTTCATTTATTTTATACATGATAATAGTACAAAACAAACTTACCTTTTTTAATATTTTTTATTATTACATTTATTATTGTAATTACCATTATTATACGGTACCATAATATTACCATATTTATTGAGATAAATAATTATGTAAATATTATACCGTGTGAGAGAATTAATAATTATGAGATTATCTTATACACAAGTACACAACACCTACATTTTGCACTTACCATTTCAAGTTGTAGAACTTAATAAATAATATTAATAATTAAAGTTTCACATATTACCTTTTTCATAACATCGTACCAAAAATTTAAAGGTATCAAATTACCTTATTAATAATTAATACGGAGTAATTATTAATAATTAAATATTCACATAATATCTTTTTTATTACACGGTATTAAAATTTTAAGGTATAGAATTACCTTATTAATAAATATTAATTATAATTACAGTTTCACATGTTATCATTTTTATTACGCCGTACCAAAAATTTAAAGGTATGAAATTTCCTTATTAATAATTAATAATAATTAATAATTAAAGTTCCACATGTTACCTTTTTTATTACACGAGATTATAAATTTTGAAGGCATGGAACTACCTTATTAATAAATAATTATTAATAATTAAAGTTTCACATGTTACCTTTTTTATTACACATGGTACCAATAATAATTATTACTCCCTCCGTTTGCAAAAAGACTTCCCATTTTGATTTGGGGGCAAAAATAAGGAAGTGTTAGATTATAGTTGATTTTCAATTTTGCCCCTGATGTGATGGGAAAAAGTAAGATGTGATGGATAGATTATTAGAGAAACAGTATGATGTGATAGGTAGGGTATGAAAAAGTAAGTGTAAAAGTGGTTTTTAATTGAAAAGGGAAGTGTTTTGTTGGAAGTGAAAAAATTGAAAGAGAAAGTGTTTTTAAGAACGAAGGGAGTATGTTGTTGTTGTTGTTGTTATTATTATTATTATTATTATTATTATTATTATTATTATTATTCTATTATTAAACGGTACCATTTTATGATCATATTATTTTTAAAGTTTCACATGTTACCTTTTTTATTATTATCATCATTATTACGTTTATAATTATTGTTATTTCACTGGAGTACAGTACTAATTGCTTTGGCGTGACCAATTAGTCGGGTAATTAATTTTAAATAAGGCAGGGAGTACTAATTGCTTTCGCGTTTCTATTCCTTCTCAAACGCCAATCTCGCCAAAATTTACTGCTAATTATATCAAAATTAGCATTACATTATCAATTCTTTCCTTCTAATTACTAATCAATTCCTAAATGAGTGCTAATTATTCTCGCCGTTACATTTTCCAATTTTTTGTTTATGTGTATTTATAGCACGTTTATGGAGACCGGCAACCTATAGCGGTATGAAGTTTTTCAATTTCTGTTTATCCATTATGGGTCTGTTTGGAAATAGCGTTAGAGATTAGCATTAGCGTTTTGAATAATATTTTATTGGTACAGATCACTTTGAAAACGCTAACGCGAAACGCTGCCCGTATGAGATTTTATTTTTTAAGAATTCTAAGGAGATGATAAGTCATATAAAAGACAACAACACTGAATGGACATGCAAGGTCAAAGTTATCGAAAAACGTAACATTAGAAATATAGAGTTTATCCCGAACGAGTGCAGACCTTTGGTGTTGCAAGATGAAGAAGTGATTGAGAGAATGCCTAGAGAGTATTTCTCCAATGCTGGAAAGGCAAAGACCGCTCATGACTACATGATTGTTAATGAGGAGTACGCAGTGGCGGATCTAGAAAATGGAAGAGTTGGGGGCATAATAATTAAAAACATAAAGTCATAACATAAAGTTAAAGACCAAAAATTTACAAACACAAGTTTTGAAATACATAAAATTAAACATTACAATTCTAATATGACAAAGCATAAAACATGAAAAAATTACAACTGCCCTCTTCGAGTTTTCATCTTCTGAAACCGATCTATTACAGTTTCATTTTTAACTCTTTCAAGCATGTCTTTTTCCACATAAGATAGTAAACAATCACTAAAGAACTCATCCCCAATTCGATTTCGTAAATATGTCTTCACAAGATTCATTGCTGAGAAGCATCTTTCAACACCTGCAGTTGCAACCGGCAAAACCAATGACAACTTTAGAAGTTTATATACCAAAGGAAAGGTGGTGTGTTTTTCCGTCTCTACCAATACCGTAGACAAATCACCAAGACCATTAAGATTTGAAAATCTGTCATCTGAAGTCACGTCCATAATATATGTCTCCAATTGATTCTGTAATTCTTTGGCATGAACTTCAGAGAAATCATTAGGATAAAATTGAGATAATCTCACCAATTTGGCCACATCAAAGTTATGGAAAGAATCACGAGGACTCAAACAAGCCACACAACGGAGCAACTCCATGTTTACTTCATTAAAACGGTCATTAAGTGATGCAACTTGTTGATCAATAATCACATAAAACAATTCAATACGATACCGTACCAAATTAGTTTTCCCTGTCCTACGTCGTGGATGATCAAGATCAACATATTCCTCATCCATGTTTAAAAAAGGAAGATCATACTCATCACAAAAACAAGAAATTATTGCTATGAGGGATTCCCATCCTTCACTTCTTAAATTTTGCAATCGTTGCTTAGCAACTTCAACAAGAGATAAAGCATTTAAAATATCTTGATCTTTCCTTTGCAATGCCACGGACAATTCATGAGTTATTCCAAGCACATCCAACATCAAATGTAAGCAAAAAGCAAAGTCAAATTTCTTAAAATACCTCAAAACACCACGAGCTTGAGCTTGCTTTGTTGTGTCTCTAGCCTCATCCTTCACAAAATCAAGCACTTTAATAATCGAAGGATACAACTTCACGATATTTAAAAGTGACTTATAATGAGATCCCCAACGCGTATCCCCGGGTCTTTTGAGACAAAGCTCTTGATTCAACCCACTTCCATTTTCAATCTCTCCAGAAGCAATGCCTTCTTTAATTCTCTCCATATAATCGTCTCGAATCATATCTCGGCGTTTACATGAAGCCCCAACAACATTTAACAATGTGGCAATCATAGAAAAAAAATCTTGAATGTCAAGATTCATTTTAGCTATAGCTACCAAAGCTAATTGAAGTTGATGAGCAAAGCAATGAATATAATAAGCCGATTGATTTTCATTCAAAATCAAAGACTTGAGGCCTTTAAACTCACCCCGCATGTTACTAGCACCATCATAACCTTGGCCTCTCAATCTTGACAAGCTTAATCCATACTCAGCAAATAAATTATCAAGTGCATCTTTAAGAGCTACATCACAAGTTTCTTTCACATGAACAATCCCAATAAACCGTTCTTGGACAAGACCCTTTTTATCTACATATCGCAACATCGTAGCCATTTGCTCTTTATTTGATATGTCACTAGATTCATCAATTAAGAGACTAAAAAAATCCCCATCAGTGTCCTTTAGGATTTCATTCATGATTTCTTTAGCAAAGCAGTGAACAATATCTTTTTGAATAGTTGGAGAAATCATTTGATGGTTCCTTGGAGCATTTTGGAGTATAACCTTACCCACAGTCTCATTTTGTTCACCGGTATATGCTAATAATTCTAGGAAATTTCCCCGGTTACTTGATTCTTCATTTTCATCATGACCACGAAATGGTAGTTTTAATCGTAACAAGAATCTACAAGCCATAATTGAAGCATTCAAACGGATTCAATATTCATTTTTCACATTCTCTGATTGTGTGTGAAGTGCAACTTCAATTGATTGACTCTGTTTCATCAAATTCTCACATCTTCTAAGTGCTTCATTGTGATAACTATTGACCTTACCAACATGAGATGCCAATCTCACTTTTGTTCCATGATGAAAAACCATGTGTTACAAATGCATCACTTCCACATTTATTTTCATGATAATCTCTACATAAATAACAACACAAACAATATGCTTTATCCTCTTTAATGCTATACTCTAACCATTTTGGATATTTTTTGAACCAATCTGGATTGAATCTCCTTGAACTTTCCCCAATTTGTTTTGAAGGGAAGTTATGGTCTAGAGGTTGACAAGGTCCTTTCAACCAATATGCACGCCTTATTTCATCTCTTTGATTAGGATGATAGTCACTAATCTTTAACCTTTCAGCGGGATCAAAGGGCAAATCATTCAAATCAATTCTTTTTTGTTTTACTTGACACTCAGACACAGAAAGAGGCATACTTCCATTTTAAGGTCCACTATCACTTTTATTTTCTTGTAAAGATGAAAATTTCCTTTTGAAAAATCTCTCCATAATGTATCTGTCAAAAATTCAAAATTAAAATATGTGTGTGATTAAACATACTTTGCTATTAATTTAAAATATAATTTAGGAAATAACAGTAATTAAGAAATAAAATGTTAATAAATTGATAATAGGACTGTGGACTCACCGATGAACTTGTGTAAACTGCGAGGATTCCGATGAAGGCTAGGGATGATGATTAAGAACATATGAAGATGGAAGAGAAGGAGAGATTCCGACCGTGCGTTGCTTTCCTTCTCCAGCGCCGGTAGCCAAATTCCCAAATAGCGGATTCTCTGGTTCTGCAATTCGCCACAGCCGCCACTTGCTCACTTCCGTAGATTAGGTAGATATGTTCACCTCCTCTTTATGTTTTTAATTGTGAAAAGGCTAATTGATTAAAAAAATTAAACTTAAGTAGTATGGGCTGGATTATTGGGCTATGGGGTCATTCCAATTTTTAGATGGGGGCAGTGGCCCAAATTTACAAAAAAATTAAAATTTTTTTTAATTAACACTAAAAATTAGTTGGGGGCATATGCCCACCATTCATTCAATGTACATCCGCCACTGGGAGTACGTATTACTATATATATGAATTTCCTTTGTTTAAGGTATACCCATATTTTACATCTGGACTTTTTTTCGTGAACAGAATGAAACCAATGCTTGGGAGCCTATGGGAAGACTTTGCGATGAATCAAGGGAATGAAATAGCATCTTTGTTTGATAGTGAAGGACACCAAAGGAAAAAGAAAAGAGAACTAGTAGTCAAGTAATAAGTCTAAGAAGATTGAGCTTTGATGAGGCAGATCTACATCATGAAGAAAGTGTGCATGCCATCCATTGAGAAAAAACATCACCCAAGAGCTCACAGGAAAAAATAAAAAAAAATGTGTTTCCTAGGTTCCTATATTCAACTTTTACGTTTTGCGTGTTTTTTTATTTAAAAAAAAGAGTTAGATGTTAGAAGAAACTGAAAGGAGCTGGAAAATGTAAAAGTTACTGAGTGGGAACTCAAAAAAATTGAGCCTTAAATCCATTTCATAACTTTTTGAAGACTAAAAGCAATGTCACTTTGTTTTCTTTTGTTTTTCCTGTCAAATTTTCCTTTGTTTTTCCTGAGAATAACCTTCTTAATTCAACTGCAGAACAACGCTTTTCATTCAATCTAATGGGGCTTTCCCTGGAAATTATTCAACCATGTGCAGTGTGCTAGGTATGCTAAGCTGAAGGGTAGTGATAGGAACACAAATCCGCTAAAATAGTACTTATTGGAACTAAGAAGTCCGGATCCGGAGAAGTCCGGATCCGGAGAAGTCAACTTTCGAGAAATCCGGATTCTGAGATATCCGAATTCCGAGAGGTCCGAATTCCGAGAAATCCGAACTCGAGAAGTCCAAATCCTATGATGACCGAATCTCCTTTATTTATTGGGATTGATCTTGATTTATTTGTTTCCTAGTTTGATTATTGATTTGTTTCCTTGTAGGATTTGTATTCCTTGTCTATTTTGGAATCATCCTCTCCTATAAATAAAGGAGAAACCCCTTGTAATTAGATAGAATAATTCAATATACAGAATATTTTCCCTCTTATTATTTTCTACATGGTATCAGAGCGAGATTCCTAGGGAAAACCCTAATCTTGACAAACGACGGTCAATCACTGTCTTCCGCCGGATCACCAACATCGACCGTCGACATGGCAGAAACAGAAGAAAATCTCGTCGGTAAGCTCTTCGATGAGGAGGAGAAAATCCCTACGAAGGGAAGTTCTTACGAACTCAAGAATGCAGACACGCCTGGATTAATTATCACCCAGGTCAAACTAAACGGTGATAATTATGAAGAATGGGCTCGTGCAATGAGAATTGCATTCCGTGCAAAACGGAAAATTGGATTCATCGACGGATCCATCCCTTGTCCAGAAGAGAGAGATGAAAACTATGAAGAATGGTGGATTGTGAATGCCATGTTGGTCTCATGGATTGACAATACCATTGATGGCAGCCTAAGAAACTCCATCACGCAGGTAGAAGAAGCAGCAGAACTATGGAAGGACATCCAAGATCGTTTCTCTGTTGCAAACAGTCCTCGAATCCATCAACTAAAGAAGGAGCTTGCGAACTGCAAGCAAAACGTTCAGTCCATCGTTACGTACTTTGGAAAATTAAAAACCATATGGGACGAACTCGGCGATCATGAAAAAATCCCCACTTGCAAATGCCATGGATGCAAGTGTGGGATAAGCAAAGCGCTTGTCATCCAACGCGACAAAGAAAAGGTTCACCAATTTCTAATGGGATTAGATAACGAAGGATATGGGAGTCTACGATCTAACATCATCGCCACAGAACCTTTGCCACCGCTGAATCGCGTATACTCCACCATCATACAGCAGGAAGGGGTTTTGAAGATTACTCAAGAAGAGGAACGTAACCCGGTGGGCTTTGTCGTCACCTCTAAATTTGACCGTGACGCAACTAAAGATTTAAAGTGCAAACATTGTGGGCTGAGCGGACACGAAAAGAATGGTTGCTTTCAACTCATTGGATATCCTGAATGGTGGGGAGATCGCCCACGCGTCTTGATCCCAGGACGAGGCAATGGCCGCGGAAACGGAATAGGGGGACGGCGCGGCGGCAGGGGGGCAGCGCCGGCCGAGGTAACCGCGGCGGGGCTGGTGGCCGTCCAACAGGTGGACCGGCGGCACACACGGCTCAAGCCAATGCAACAGATGGGGGACGTGCATCTCATCAACCGAATCCATCTTCTCTCACAACCAATCAATGGAATGCACTTATTGGACTCTTAAACGAGAAGGATTCGGGTATGAAAAATAAATTTTCAGGCATGACTAATACTTCTTGGATCATTGATAGTGGAGCCAGTCAGCATATGACCGGTGATAAGAAGTGTCTTGAAAATTTGGAAGCAATAAAACCGTGCTCTGTTGGCCTACCAAATGGAGATTGCGCGATAGCCAACCAAAAGGGGAGAGTAATTGTGGATAATTTGATCACCTTAGAAAATGTTTTGCTAGTTCCTCAACTCAACTGCAATCTTATATCTGTCTCACAACTTCTTGAGAAAAAGAATTTAATTGTCAAGTTTAATAATAAAATTTGTATTATACAGGACTATATCTCGAAGATGGTGATTGGAATGGGTGAGCAGGCTGAAGGACTATATTATCTCAAGAAAGGTGTGAAGGACAAAGTCTGCACTGTGAAGGAGGCGAAGGATCTGGACATTTGGCACAAGCGCTTGGGTNATCCCTCCTACACCACTGTCAACACTTTTCTTCAATTACCTAAAAATACCAATATTCCTAATTCCCCTTGTGATGTGTGTTTTCGTTCAAAACAATGTCGTGACTCTTTCCCAATTAGTTTGAATAAATCTATTACTCCTTTTTCCTTGATTCATTGTGATTTATGGGGTGGGTACCGTACTCCGTCTCGCACTGGGGCTAAATATTTCTTAACTATTGTTGATGATTTCTCTCGGGCAACATGGATGTATCTTTTAAATCATAAATATGAAGCTCCCACTGTCCTATGTAATTTCTTTTCCATGATTGAACGACAATTCAATAAACAAGTGAAAACTGTACGAAGTGATAATGGTACAGAATTCACTTGTTTAAAATCTTTCTTTGACAATCATGGAATTATCTTTGAGTCCTCTTGTGTCGGTACCCCACAACAAAATGGTCGAGTTGAACGAAAACACCGTCACATTCTCAACATTGCCAGAGCCCTTCGTTTCCAAGCCAACCTACCTCTTAAGTTCTGGGGTGATTGCATTCTCACCGCTGCTTATCTCATTAACCGAACACCCTCTGAGCTACATAACGACAGAACCCCATATTCCATGATCTTTGAAAAAAACCCCTCATATAATCATATTCGGGTTTTCGGATGCCTTGCCTATGCCCACAATCAATTCCACCATGGAGACAAATTTGAGTCCCGTTCTCGACGCTGTGTTTTCCTTGGCTATCCATACGGCCAAAAGGGATGGCGCCTTCTCGATTTGGACAATAATAAAATATTTGTCAGTCGAGATGTCAAGTTCTTTGAAAATCATTTTCCCTTTCACTCACAAAATACCCCTAATCTCGCAGAACCTGAACCCACTACTGATTTTTTTGAGGAAGAAATACCCAGTGAAGAATCTGCCACCGAAACGGTCGACAAGATCGACCGCCCAGCAACCCACGGTCGACCGTCTCTCTCTGGACCTGACACTGCCACCCAGACGGTCGAAACACTAGACCGTTCTCAGGACCCCGGTCCACCGTTGCTCCAGTCCAATCCAGAAAACCCTGCAACATCAGAACCAAACAGCCAACCCAATGTCCCAGTCCAACCTTCTTCTGCCATTGATAACCAAACCCTTCCAACCCAAGACACTTTGCGTCGAAGTGAAAGAGAACGTCGCCCTCCTTCGCGACTGCGTGACTTTGTGACTCACACCATTCAACGTCCCTCTCCTGATTCACTCAAACCAACAACGCCTTCAGGTACAGCACACTGTATTACAAATTTTATTAACGCTCACAAATTTTCTGTTTCCCATAGATGTTTTTTGGCAGCTATAAGTGCAGATGTTGAGCCTACATTCTTTTCTGAGGCGATCAAAAATCCGCTATGGGTACAAGCTATGAAGGAAGAAATTCAGGCATTGGAAGCTAATGGTACTTGGTCACTCGTCCCCTTGCCTCCAGGAAGGAAAACAATCGGATCTAAGTGGGTCTACAAAATCAAGCACAAGTCTGATGGAAGCATTGAATGCTACAAAGCTCGTTTGGTAGTGCTTGGCAATCGCCAGAAAGAGGGAATTGATTTTAAAGAAACTTTTGCACCAACGGCTAAATTGGTTACCGTTCGCACTCTCTTAGCTGTTGCCGCTGCCCGAAATTGGTTCTTACATCAGATGGACGTTCATAATGCGTTTCTGCATGGAGACCTTTGCGATGAAATATACATGACTCTTCCTCCCGGGTTTGCCTCTCGCGGTAAAGGATTGGTTTTCCGTCTTCATAAATCCCTCTATGGTCTTCGACATGCTCCACGTTGTTGGTTTGCTAAACTCACCTCTGCATTAAAACACTTTGGGTTCCACCGATCCAAGGCTGATTACTCTCTGTTTACTCTTTTGCGCGGCTCCATCGAGCTCCGTGTGCTGGTGTATGTGGATGATCTTGTGATCGCAGGAAATGATGAAGGCTTCATTGGCAAATTTAAACGCTATCTATCTGATTGCTTCCATATGAAGGACCTTCGTCTCTTAAAGTATTTTTTGGGCGTTGAGGTTGCCCGAAATTCGAAAGGAATTTTCATATGCCAGCGCAAATATGCTCTGGATATACTTTATGAGACTGGATTTCTGGGTGCTCGTCCGGCTTCCACTCCCCTTCCTCAGAACCAACGACTGGCTCTAGCGCGTGGCCCGCTTCTCACCAACCCAGAGCGTTATCGCAGACTTGTGGGGCGCCTCATTTATCTCATGATCAGTCGTCCTGACTTGGCCTATGTTGTTCATGTGTTGTCTCAATTCATGGGGGAGCCGCGGTAGGAACACTGGGACGGTGCGACTCACGTTCTGCGGTACATCAAGGCCTGTCCCGGGCAGGGTTTGTTTCTTCCAGTACACAGTGATCTTACTCTTAAAGCTTTCTGTGACTCTGATTGGGCTGGGTGTCCCTTGACTCGGCGTTCTGTTACTGGATATTTTATCACTCTTGGCGATTCCCCGGTATCTTGGCGTACAAAGAAACAAAGCGTAGTTTCCCGATCTCCGGCTGAAGCCGAATACAGGGCCATGGCAACTACTGTTTGTGAACTCAAATGGCTGAAATCCCTTCTTTTCTCCCTTGGTGTGCGTCACAAACAGCCCATGCGGTTGTTCTGTGATAATCAGGCTGCTCTTCATATTGCCGCTAATCCGGTCTTCCATGAACGTACAAAGCACATTGAGATTGATTGCCACTTTGTACGTGACGAAATCCAACGAGGTGTTTTGTGTACTCGCCACATCTCCACCAATGATCAACCGGCAGATCTCTTTACAAAGGCTTTGGCTTCCGCTCTGTTTTCACATTTACTGTCCAAGCTGGGCATCCAGAATCCGCATGCTCCAGCTTGAGGGGGGGTATTGGAACTAAGAAGTCCGGATCCGGAGAAGTCAACTTCCGAGAAATCCGGATTCCGAGAGATCCGAATTCCGAGAAATCCGAACTCGAGAAGTCCAGATCCTATGATGACCGAATCTCCTTTATTTATTGGGATTGATCTTGATTTATTTGTTTCCTAGTTTGATTATTGATTTTTTTCCTTGTAGGATTTGTATTCCTTGTCTATTTTGGAATCATCTTCTCCTATAAATAAAGGAGAAACCCCTTGTAATTAGATAGAACAATTCAATATACAGAATATTTTCCCTCTTATTATTTTCTACAGTACTACACATAAAAATAAGTACACACAGTGATACCATAAAAATAAGTACACACCGTGACGCATAAAAATAATTGTATTACTCCCTCTGTTCCATATCTTTCTTTACGTTGCGCAAAACGAATAAATATCTCAAATTTTTTAAATCTATTTTATTTAAATATTGATATATAAATAAAAAGTAAAATTTACATATTTAAAAAAATACATTAAAAGTTTAACAAAACAAATTGTGACAAAAACATTTTATTTTATCATATGGTACTCTGTAAAGAAAAATATGAGACATAAGGAGTATTATTTAAAAAGTTTCATAAATTTATTAATTTAAAAAAATTGTTTATAAACATTTATTGCAGTTAATTATTCATTGTTAAAAATTTCATCTTTATTTATATGTATTTTTTATTTTTCAAAAATAAAGGCTTTGTTAAATTTTAAGGTGTAAATGAGGTACGTATATGTTCATCTCGATTGTACTAAAACCGACACCGAGTCATCTTGAACCATATCGAACCGATATTTTGGGATCAAAATTAGTACGACGTAAAATCTCGTACCGAACCAAATTTTTTGGTATAATATCGGTACGAACTAAATACCGTACTATATCATACCACGCTCACCCATGATAGAAGTTGTTTCTCTACGTTCATACTTTTTCTCTAATGATTACTCTTCAATGTTGATATTTATTGGCTTAATAATCATTTTTAACTTATAAGATAATTACTCCGTATTAAAGTTTATTTTGCAACCTCACTTAAATGAAATAAATCACATGGAAATATTAGTAAAATGTACGGAGTAATTGATACTAGTAGTTTTGTAAGGCTTTGTTTGGAAACAATATTTTCTATTACTGTTAATATTTTAAATAAAATTTTAATTTAATTCTAAAAATCCTAACAACAACAACCCGCAGTTTTGATTCCCAATACTAGTCGGGCCGGAAGAAGGGATCTGAAATGGCGCAAGGACTTGATTTATATACTTTTCGCTCTCTACCAGACAATCCTTATTGGATTTATGGTTTGATTTCTTTGGCAGATTTTCCTCTCTATTCGCCAAACGCAGGTTGTTATTTGATCTCAGATTTAGATTAGTTTTGCATTGTTAGTATCTCAAGATCGATTAAAAATATTCACAATGTTCACTTCTGTCTGTAGTTCCTATAGTTTGATTCTCAATCTCTAAACTTCCTGTTCAATTAATGGATTTTTCTTGTTTCTTCGATCTGTATATGGGTAAAGTTCTGCCTGTGATTTCCCAGTAGTTAATAATTTATTTGTTTTTATTCATTAATTTATGTAATGTAGATGGAGAGGAATGCAAGAAGGAGAGGTTCCAGTGATACTGGGGCCATGGAACAGCTTCCTTTGGAGGTCATTGGTGAGATATTGTCTCGCGTTGAAGTTGCACGGCATGTGGTCAGAGCTTCTCTAACTTGTCACAAGTGGCGAGAAGCTTATTGCAAGCACCTTCATACACTTTCCTTTGATGTTGCTGATGATGAGCGTGTCTATTCCCGTCTTCCTACTAGCAGCTTGGAAATATTGATCACAAGGACCATATTTCAAACATCTGGTTTACGAAAACTCTCTATTCGGATGCACGACAATCACAAGTTTTCGGCTGGTGCAGCTTTTGGCTGGTTAGTGTTCACTAGAGAATCTTTGTCGGAGTTGTTTTTTACGGTTTGCACCTCTCCTAGCATTGATGTTCTTGATGTATGCGGAAGGAAGAAACTCAAAACCATGTGTTTAGGTGAATGCACAATTAGGAATGTTGAACCGGTTTTGCAAAGATTCCCCTGTTTGACATCACTATCTCTAAATCGTGTCAGTATTTCAGTAGAGGATCTGAATCGGCTTCTTTTGGCGCTTCCAAAGCTTGAGTGTTTGGAACTAAGTGAACCTGAGCTACACGCTGAAGATGAGGTTCATATTGAAAGATTTCTCAAATTGCAATTTCCTACACTGAAGACTCTTCTTATTAGAGGTCTCAGTGAACTTGGACTTATTTTGGAAAAGTGTGATATTGGGCATTTGCTTGTGAAGAATTGTACTTTTGGATTGTTTAAGGTCACAGGCAGTAAAAATTTGACGCACTTCGAAATTTACGGGTCGGAGTTTCGACTTCTTGAAATTGAAGAGGCGGATGATCTAGAGAGTCTTGAAATCATCCATTGTCGTGTTTCTCAGTCAAATTTGTTCCCAATGAGTGTTCAAGCACCAAAGTTGAAAAAGTTTCAAATTTGGGGATTTATGGAGCAAATGGAATGTTTTAAAAGAGAGAATGAAATAATCCTCCATGGGTCCAGTTTAGTTGTGGATTTAGAACGAATAGCTGTTTGTTCCCCACAATTGAGCCATCTTTCATTGTTCTTTGAAAAAGGAGTTGTCGATGTCGAATATAAATTTAGTGGATTGTCTTCCTTGGAGAATGTGGTCATCTTGCATATTGGATGTGATTATTATACACGGGATTATTTTCATGGCTTCACAGAATGGGCAGAGAATTTGCTGAAGTGTTGTCCAAATGTTAGGAAGTTGATTGTCCACGGAATGGTTCCAGAAGAGAAAGATGATGGGTTTTTGGAGGACCTCTCAGAACAAACCTCGATGATGTTTGAAATGATCAGAAAGTACCCACATATAGAGGTGAAGTTTAAGTACATGTATCGAACTTTGTTCCGAATCTATTGTTGACTGGGCAAGAAGAGAAGGTGCCACATTGGTGTTTCTACATTTTCAACCTCATCCCCATATCATTGGAGATTTCTGCTACCTAACCAAACCAGCAGTCGCGGTTTACATCTTATGCAGGTTCATTGGATCTTCTCTTTCACTTAAGACTCTTGTAGGGTTATAATCCATCTTGGCCACGAAACTTCTATGCTTCATGTTGAACATCTACTCCTAAAAATCTCAGTCCTCATTTCTTGACAAATGACAACCTAGTGCTATTTTATCAGTTCTCTATGTGTGAAATCAAAACTATCTGTTTTGTGCATCAAACCATCAAAAATTGTTGATCTTATGAAAATGTGACGAGTCTTTGGTTTCTGTTTCGTTTGTTATCTCATTTTTGAATGGTATTGTGCATGTATTAGTCAGGAGGGCTGAATAATCCTGTTCTGCAGTGTGTGATTCCTTTCCCCCTGACTTTGTTGTTCCATTTCAGTGAATATGTGATTTACTATTTTTCCTTCTAAGGTGTGTATTTTTATACCAAGTAATAATTTTCTACTTACACCGTATATAAGTTTCGATTTTCTGGTTTTCCCAGTTCTTGTCCGGTCCAGTCCTGTTCTTGACATAGTGCTTTGAAAATTTTCTATTGGACCAACTAAATAGACCTTCCTCGTTTGATGAAGGAGAGCTCGAACTCTGTATCCAAATGTTTTTTTTTTGTAGCTGACTGCATTTTTTTAATTTGCAAAGTATTAAAAGTAGTGAAAAGAAGAATTTAGTTAGAAAATATTCATTTGAGCTTGAGTTTGATGTTATAGATTGGAGTTGAATTATTGTATTCTGTGTTTGTACTTTATTTTCTCTTTGAATAGGGTGTATTGGTCTGGAGATGGTCCAGCTATGTACTCCAATTCAATACTCTCTATTTTATGTCTTTTCTGAAGTTGATTTTACATTTTTTCTTAGTTTTCCCTTCCAATTTCCAATATGGTAAACCAACCAAATCGAACTGAATCCAATATTCATAAAACTTATTCATATTCGCTACTTTTGGATGATATTCAAATTGGATTTAGTTTGGATATTTCTGAAGATTCATATTTGGTTCATTTAAAACTATTAGGTTTGTTTGAATATAAAAATATCTTATAAGTATTTGATTTATTTCTTAAAAATTAGGGAGTATATTTTAAGTATTTAAATTGTTTCTTAAAAATATTTATAACTATTCATTAATAGTTATGTAAATTTTCTATTAATTTTTAAATATTTATAAATTTGACCTGTGTTTTCAAATACATTCGTTTAGCTAGGGAACGGATTGAATAGGTTTGGGTATATTTCTATTCACTCAAATACTACACAAATAACGAATATAAATGATGGCTCGAATTAAAATTATTCGATTGATTTAAAATTGAGATTACAAATTAAAATTATTCGAATTAAAATTAATCGCTCGCACTAGTCGAGATTAAGTGTTTAGTGTCGCGGCATGCAAGTGGAGGGTGCAACCTTGTTGCGCCAGGAATCTCAAGCTCTTTTTGGGCATCTCTAGCCACCGGTCATCCTACTTACCTCTAAGTTGTGGCGAGTCATACCGACCCCAAACTATCGGTCAGTCATATGCCGCCCGCCAAGTCGCTCTTCCCAAACTTCAATTTTTGGAGCTAAGCGAACCCGACCTACGAGCTGTAGATGAGGTTGATAACACTACGTTTAGTTCAAGAAATTTGGAAAAAAAGTAAAGAAAATGGTTTTCCTTCATTTTCCTTACTAAAAGGAGATGAATTTATTTTTCCTTCATTTTATTACATTTTACCTTCCCATTTTCTTTTCCATTCACTTTTCTTTTCTTTTCCTCTCTTACCAAACAAGAAAAATATTTTCCATGTCATTTTCTTTTCCTTTCTCCCTCAAATTCCTTTACACTATGTTTGGTTCAAGAATTTTGGAAGGTAAAGAAAAGAAAACGCTTTTCTCTCATTTTTTTCACCAAAATGGGAGAAATTTCATTTTTCCTCCACTTAGTACATTTGTCTTCTCATTTTCTTTTCAATCCACTTTTTCTCTATAACCAAACAAGAAAAACTGTTTTCTACTTTTTTTTTCTTTTTGCTTTCAAATTACTTGAACCAAACATAGTGGAAGAAAAGATTTTTCAGGTTGCATTTTCCTAGAGTGAAGACTCTTCTTATTGTTATTGGTCTTAGTGAGCTTGGACTTATGTTGGAACAGGGTGACATTGGGTACACACAAACACAGATGATAATTGTCTGTGCGACACAGACAATTATCGTCTGTGTTTGTTTGTGTGAAGCATGGGTGCACCCATGGTAGCACCCATGTGGTGGCACCCTAGCATTTCCCTAAAATTTAATCTGAAAAACTGGCAGACTATGTGGTGGATGATTAAGAAAATTTTAAAAAGAACACTTGCACGTCATTAAAAAACTATATATGTGACAGCTGATTTGGAAAGTGAGGTGGCGGAAGAGTAATATAATAAAAAAAGTATATCCGTTGTTGAAGTGGTAATGTCATTTATTAAATTTGGCAATATATACTCAGCACTCGGTTGTATTACATTTTTCCGTGGTAAGTATTCATTCATGAGTATTTGAATTCTTATTTTCGAGCAACTGAATATTCATTTGTGAGTAACTGGATAATCATTTTTCTAAAATTTAGTTATACTCGTAAATGAATATTCAATTACTCAAAAATGAATACTTTATTATTTGAAAATGAGTTTTTAGTTCTTTGAAAATGGGTATTTAAGCGGATGTACGCGTAAAATACAGTTCTTTTTTAAATAATGTTGTAAATAAAATAGATTTTTATGTCAGTCTAGAAATTGATTACGGAGTACAATTCTTTTGGAATGTATATCTCTATAACTTTTATTTTTTGTATATTATTATGGATTATTTGATTGGCTCAAAAAAATGGATTATTTGATAAAATAA